CCATCCTGATTCAGAAGCTCTTTGACGAGGGAGTAAAACAAAGTATAGAAAACGTACACGTAAAAAAGCAAGGTACAGATTTTGAGCAACAAGCATGTTTTTTGGTCTGTTTTTTTTTTTAGCTTTATGTAAAAAAACATCAGTCTGTATTTATAACGAAATACATATATGGTTAAACTGAGCCAATACAACAAAATAAAATAAATGAGTATTCCCCGCAGAGAATCGGCATCGCTTTATAAAGAAGTAAATTATATAAAATAGTTTCAAACACAAAAGCAAGCAACAGAATTCAAGCAAAACTGCAACGTGTTTAAAACAAACAACATTCTATTAAACATAAAATGAACTATGCAACAGTAATCAAACGAACATTGAATTACTTGTCTTGAACCGATAAAGTTAGCAGCGTTTAGTAAAAAGACAACGAGGTGTCAGCTAGTCTTTAATCCTGTTTTATAACCTCTTAACTCACTGCAGGTGATCTCATGTTTTAACCTGTTTGTTCTACAGAGAGGTGGAGTGGCTTTATTCACATTAAGCCTCTTAAAACCATAATGACATAGAAATGAGTAATGATCATGTTACGACATTACATTCTGGATTTATTAGAGAATCTCCGCCGTTACAGACAGAGGATTGTCTTGTGTGGACATTTCATGGGTTTCTTATTCTCGCTTATTGTCACTTTTCTGACATCGACTAAAGTTTTTTTCTATTATCTTAAAGGGGACCTATCATGCAAAATCCACTTCTTCATGTCTCTTCTACATCAACATGTGTCCCCTCTTCTTCATGTCTCTTCTTCATCAACATGTGTCCCCTCTTCTTCATGTCTCTTCTTCATCAACATGTGTCCCCTCTTCTTCATCAACATGTGTCCCCTCTTCTTCATGTCTCTTCTTCATCAACATGTGTCCCCTCTTCTTCATGTCTCTTCTACATCAACATGTGTCCCCTCTTCTTCATGTCTCTTCTTCATCAACATGTGTCCCCTCTTCTTCATGTCTCTTCTTCATCAACATGTGTCCCCTCTTCTTCATGTCTCTTCTTCATCAACATGTGTCCCCTCTTCTTCATGTCTCTTCTTCATCAACATGTGTCCCCTCTTCTTCATGTCTCTTCTACATCATGTGTCCCCTCTTCTTCATGTCTCTTCTACATGAACATGTGTCCCCTCTTCTTCATGTCTCTTCTTCATCAACATGTGTCCCCTCTTCTTCATGTCTCTTCTTCATCAACATGTGTCCCCTCTTCTTCATGTCTCTTCTACATCACCATGTGTCCCCTCTTCTTCATGTCTCTTCTTCATCAACATGTGTCCCCTCTTCTTCATGTCTCTTCTTCATCAACATGTGTCCCCTCTTCTTCATGTCTCTTCTACATCAACATGTGTCCCCTCTTTTTCATGTCTCTTCTACATCAACATGTGTCCCCTCTTCTTCATGTCTCTTCTACATCACCATGTGTCCCCTCTTCTTCATGTCTCTTCTTCATCAACATGTGTCCCCTCTTCTTCATGTCTCTTCTACATCAACATGTGTCCCCTCTTTTTCATGTCTCTTCTACATCAACATGTGTCCCCTCTTCTTCATGTCTCTTCTACATCACCATGTGTCCCCTCTTCTTCATGTCTCTTCTACATCAACATGTGTCCTCTCTTCTTCATGTCTCTTCTACATCAACATGTGTCCCCTCTTCTTCATGTCTCTTCTACATCAACATGTGTCCCCTCTTCTTCATGTCTCTTCTTCATCAACATGTGTCCCCTCTTCTTCATGTCTCTTCTTCATCAACATGTGTCCCCTCTTCTTCATGTCTCTTCTACATCAACATGTGTCCTCTCTTCTTCATGTCTCTTCTACATCAACATGTGTCCCCTCTTCTTCATGTCTCTTCTACATCAACATGTGTCCCCTCTTCTTCATGTCTCTTCATCAACATGTGTCCCCTCTTCTTCATGTCTCTTCTTCATCAACATGTGTCCCCTCTTCTTCATGTCTCTTCTACATCAACATGTGTCCCCTCTTTTTCATGTCTCTTCTACATCAACATGTGTCCCCTCTTCTTCATGTCTCTTCTACATCACCATGTGTCCCCTCTTCTTCATTTCTCTTCTTCATCAACATGTGTCCCCTCTTCTTCATGTCTCTTCTACATCAACATGTGTCCCCTCTTCTTCATGTCTCTTCTACATCAACATGTGTCCCCTCTTCTTCATGTCTCTTCTACATCACCATGTGTCCCCTCTTCTTCATGTCTCTTCTACATCAACATGTGTCCTCTCTTCTTCATGTCTCTTCTACATCAACATGTGTCCCCTCTTCTTCATGTCTCTTCTACATCAACATGTGTCCCCTCTTCTTCATGTCTCTTCTTCATCAACATGTGTCCCCTCTTCTTCATGTCTCTTCTTCATCAACATGTGTCCCCTCTTCTTCATGTCTCTTCTACATCAACATGTGTCCCCTCTTCTTCATGTCTCTTCTTCATCAACATGTGTCCCCTCTTCTTCATGTCTCTTCTTCATCAACATGTGTCCCCTCTTCTTCATGTCTCTTCTACATCAACATGTGTCCCCTCTTTTTCATGTCTCTTCTACATCAACATGTGTCCCCTCTTCTTCATGTCTCTTCTACATCACCATGTGTCCCCTCTTCTTCATGTCTCTTCTTCATCAACATGTGTCCCCTCTTCTTCATGTCTCTTCTACATCAACATGTGTCCCCTCTTTTTCATGTCTCTTCTACATCAACATGTGTCCCCTCTTCTTCATGTCTCTTCTACATCACCATGTGTCCCCTCTTCTTCATGTCTCTTCTACATCAACATGTGTCCTCTCTTCTTCATGTCTCTTCTACATCAACATGTGTCCCCTCCTCTTCATGTCTCTTCTACATCAACATGTGTCCCCTCTGTGTAAAGAGACTCTGAAAGTTTCAGGAACAAAGATTCTCTCTCTTTTTCTCCTGATCCATTTCTATAAAAACCTGTCTGAAAATGAGCTGATCAGATTTTGGCCACTTTATGATGTCATAACGATGTTTTGGCTTGAGTAACCATTAGCCAATCAGCAACCAAGGTAACCCCCCCCCCCCCCCCCCCCCCCCCCCCCCCCCCCCCACCGTATCACCTGAATCTCCTCCTAGAGCACCATTGTGTTCTTTGTAACCAAATATCTCTCAGAGGGGCGTGGGGAGGGGCTCCTTATTTTCATCTAAAGTAACAGACAGAGAATCAGCACTTTGGAAACGGGGCTGAAACAGAGGGGATTATGGGTAATGCTGCAATGATCTGTTTGGTGTTTCAGCCAATCAGAGACAGGCTCTGTATATATCTGAGACCGATAATATATTAATGAAAAACAGTATAATAGGGGACCTTTAAGGTCTTTGGTCACGTTTCATGTTAGTACCATGTCACAACTTATGTGGATTTGGGAGGTTCTATATCACAGAATTTTTTATTAGGGTAAAGTTATATATACAGATAAAGTGATAGTTTTGTTAATTCAATTAAGAAGTGGTTTAAATAACCATAATGCACTTCTCCACCTATTTATTAATTTCTTCTTTCACTTGCGTCACCTGAGAAAACCTTGATCTGTTGTACTCCCATTTTTCATTTATCAAAACAACCACTTTCCACCTCGGCCACAAATATAATTATTTGCCATATGTTATAATGGTGAAGCTGTGGAGCTCATCTTTGGAAACCTGCTAAGAAATGTTTTCTCACTGTGGCCGTTTCTTCCAACCACATTTCCACAGAAGGTAGACGGTTATTTTAATATTGGCAGAGATCTACATATACATTTTTTGTTTTGTTTTTAACAATGACAAATTCTAGAAGAAACCTGCCTGTGTTTGGTATTATCTAAACCAGGGGTGTCAAACTCAAGGCCCGGGGGCCAAATCCGGCCCGCGACTTCATTTTATGTGGCCCGCAAGAGCTTGCAAAGAATATAATATGTTTATTATACGGTTACATGCCGCTTTACAGTATATCTATATATGTTCATTTTAATTAATTTCTTATTTTATAGTTATTTATTTTATTTTTTTATCTTTGATTTATCCTTAATTTTATTAATCTGTGTGAATCTGTCCTGTTTTTCAATCTTGCCTTGTTGCTGTTAAACTACTGAATGTCCCCACGGGGATTAATAAAGGTCCATCTTATCTTATCTTACAGAAGCAGGTTGCCCATAAACTACATGTCCCACAATGCATCTCATTTTGTGACATTCTCACTGAAGAGACTTGCAATTATTTGCCTTAGACTTCTGCTTTCAGACGTAGTTAATTATGAAGTTATTACCCTATCCAATAAAAATCCAATGCAGAGGCAATCATGTAATATAATACATTATTTCATATATATTATGTATTTATATATGTATATTTATATAGTTACAACCGGCCCTTTGAGTGCAAGCATAATGCTAATGTGGCCCACGATGAAATTGAGTTTGACACCCCTCATCTAGATCCACACTATTAACATTTAAGAACACAAAAACACCTTTTTAATACTGGCTCAACCCTACTTTAAGATTTCTTTATGACAGTTATCGGTGTGTAAAATGAAGTGTTTATTTGCTGGTTTACTCGGAAAGAAATCCCCTTAAACACAAGACATCCTTTGATTTGGTTTACTACTTACTCACAGAGCTACGACGCCAATTGAGTACTTCAACTTTTTGTTTTGTAGTTCACTGTAGTTTCATCTTAATCAAAGAAACTAGATGTTTATATTTTGTTTACCACTTCAGTGTTCACATTTAATTTAAATCTGAAAAACAACGGAATTTGTACGCCCGACTTAAAAAACAAAGCTGTGATCAAGTATTTAAAATATCTTTTTTTTCATCTTAATCCAACGTAATGTATTTGTTGTTTTGCAGGAGTTTCCGTGTGTCGTCCCACCTGAGAGTGTAAAGTCACTGCTCCTTCCCCCCCCCCCCCCGCCCACAGAGAGAGAGGTGCCAACAGAGGGACAGGATGCCTCCTCCTCCCCCCCCCCCACCCCCAGGACCCCCGCCTCCCCCAACCTTCAGTCAGGTCAGTGATTGCACAGCATAATGCAAAGGTATAACAATAAAGCTTTATTTATATAGCACTTTTCATACAACACATGCAGCTCAAAGTGCTTTACAAAATGACACATCACAAACAACAAGAAATTCCCCTCAGATCAATTAAGAACTTTACAGGTACATGCAGCAACAATATAACATTTGATCAGGTTAATGGACACAAGGAGGTGAAACGTATGACAATAAAACAAACCAAACAATGGTTTCTCTGACAGATCAGACACAAGTCAACTGAGTCATGCAACAATATAAGCTAATCTAAAAAGATGTGTCTTTTAGCTGGCGTTTAAAAAATGTCCACTGAGTGATAACATCTGTTAGAAAAATGTCACTCGACACCGGTTTGAGAATCAATAATAAGGAACTAATTTATTCTTGCAAGAAGGAGCAGAGTTAAATCACATACAGGAATATGGTTCAACTCACACACACATGAGGTATGCTGCTCAAAGGAACAGGAAATCACATCAAGCTTATATAGTCTAAGTGTATTCCCACTCATAGTCGTAAATCGGTTTGGTGTCGGCAGGTTCCCGTACATGCAGGTATTCCTCATTTACAAATATGTTGCTCTTTGCCCCTCAAAGGGTGGGAGACGAGAGTAGTTGTCTTCCCATCTGTAGATAAACAAAGTGAATTATGCCCTGCCTCCTTCTATCTAAAGAGGAGGCCGCTGCAGGTCAGACACAGCACCAACAGTTGTTAGATAACATAGGAACAAGTCAGTTGTATTTTCCCCAACACATCAAAAACCACAAAAAAATAGGAGTTAAGAGTTCAGTAAAGCAGAAACAACTTACTGTAAACGTATGTATAAATGTGTCTGATTGTGTATAAACATATTTTTATATATATTTGTATTGTATTATTCAGGATTGTGGGAAACCGTATTTCAATCTTTCTGTCTGTACACACAAACTGAAAGAAACACTCTTTTAGGACCACCTGCATTACTTCCTGTTCATACCTGCATCCCACTATACACACACATATATATATTTATGTGCATTACCCGTTTACTTTCTTGTTCTTACCTTTCCATAACCGGCTTAACCTGTCTACAGATGATTCATGTTATCATTACTGTGCACCAGTCTATCACAGTAAACATTTTTACCTCCCAGTTTTATACATTTTATTGCAGCATTGGACTTAAACTAAACTAAATCCTGCATTCATGAATGTTAAATGTTTAAAGTCGCAGTAATGCCTGGTGACTCATTGACTAATTTCCGCCTGGCCCACTAATGAGACAACGCCTTGGGTTTCCCTTTTTCCCCCGAATACTTCTTCAACTCACCTATCAGCATCTGCAGGATATTACAGACGAGCAGCTTCCTGTTCTTCAAGAGTGAAGAAGATTTGATAATAATAATAATCATTAGTTTTAGCTTCCAATTAGTTGAATGAGTTCAAACACACTGTAAAAGCACTTCAACATGACTATAAGGGGATAATAGTGTGAGAAAAGTTAAATAATTCCTTAAAAAACGGTATCACAAGTGTTAATTCATGGAAAACAAGGGATGGAAACCTGAAGTCTGGGCTGAAGATCATGTTCCTCTTGTGTGTGTTTCGTACCTGGCATGAACACCAGCGATGGTTAATTATAACAAAATAAGTTTCACGCTCTGCCGTCAAAATCTCTGACATGGCAAATCTACTGCATCATGTGACGTTTGTTTACAAGCTGTGAGTCTCTCTGTAAAAGTGTGCCATTTGAACCCAATCAAAATGTTTTAAGACGTGTCAGAGGAGATGAACTAGAGATGTGATATTTCTATTTTCTTTCTCGGCAGGCGAACATAAATCCTTCCAAACTAGGCTCGAATGAGACCAAAGGCAGAGGAGCGCTGCTGTCGGACATCCATAAAGGCGCCAGACTAAAGAAGGTCTCAGGGGTCAATGACCGGAGCAGCCCCATTATAGAGAGTGAGTCCCTCATCATTCATACACATATTAAACATGACCTTAAATGCAAAAGAAAGCTTCTATTGGAGAAAAGAAACACAGAAATGTGAGTTTTTATTATATAACACGTTCTTATGTTTTTTCTCTTATGAGCTTTTGACCACATTTCCTTCAGTCTTGATACCTTTAGTTAATGTTATACGGAATTTGTAAGTGTTTCTGAAATATACTTGTGGTGGTAGCCGGGGGCGGGTGCTAGTGGAGCATGCTCATGAACTGTTCGCCGGAGCCTCGTAGCGGAGTTACTGCGGTGCGCATAAAGCAGACCCTGCAGAGCAAACGGCTACATAAAAGATTAAACCTAAATGGGTCGCGAAATATACTTTGGCGGACGTTAATATACCTGGGCGGCCCCCCCAAGTAAAGTCTATGTGTGGGAAACCCTGGTAAAACTGGACAGTAGTAGACATGTCTCTTGAAATCAACAAATGCATCAAAGACACACTTTCTTATTTGTGCTCCAATTGATATTTGAATTCTCCAAGTGCTTGTGGCTTGGCACAGTATTTTGGAGACATTTATTCTGCCAAATGTCTGAGTACTGAGTTCAAGTGCTTCTCAGTTAATGGTGAATGAAAAGACAAATACAAACAAAAAATAAACATATATATACATTTCCAAGAACTCGATGCAGTGTTAATTCCAAAATGTAATAAACAAAGATAGATGAATAAAAAAATAAAAGTCAAATACTACACCCTGGTTTCTGGCTGCAAGTAATAGTCATTTTGGTTTGTATTTGTTTAGCTGAAGAACGTTTAAAAAACAAGCTATGAAGCTAGAAGTTATTGCTGTTGGCAGGAACATTTCCATTCCTTGTGTCCCTGAATCAATCTGTAGGAGAAACACTTGGCTTAATGTACACGACTTGGTGCAGAAGGTGTTCTTAAACGTACATAATGGATAGGTTTGTTCATCGACCGAATTGTAGCTTTTCTGTGCTCGCTCTTCCTAGTCCAACTCCCATGATGTTGAGAAATCCAAATATTTGAATATTCAAATATATTCCTAGTTCTGCTTTCATATTTGTTTTATATATTAACATGGGTGTCATCTTTTCACCAGAATCAGGAGGAGGAGGCGGAGGAGGCGGAGGCGGAGGAGGCGGAGGCGGAGGAGGAGGCGGCGGAGGAGGAGGAGGCGGTAGTGGAGGTGGAGGACCAATGGGACTCGGAGGCCTTTTCCAAGGAGGTGTCCCAAAACTACGCCCAGTTGGAGGTAAACAATTCTTGTATTGCTTTGATATGTTTTAAGGTTGTGCATCTTATCCTCGTGAATGCATTATCTCAGGAAGTTCTTCAGGGAATTTTCCAGTTGGACTTTTGGATTTTTTTCTAATTTGGTGAAGACACATAAACAGACAAACAGCAGAAAAATGATATAGTATATATAAAAACATAATAAAAAAATCATTCAATTTATACATACCAAGTAAATGACCTAAGGTAAAATAATATAATATTAAAATAAAAAATATAAATGAAACAAATATGTAATATAAATAACAACATAAACAATAATCCTTCATACATGGTAAGTAAATTGGTAAAGCTTAAAGTGGACCTATCATGCTATATTATAATAATATAGTGTAGGACCATACCTATATAAGGCATATTTATACTTTTTTTTTCTTCAAAATACCAAACAGATCATGCATTTTAGCCATGCCTCATTTCGCTCAATTTGACATTTTTTAGCTCTGTTTTTGCAAGGGCTGATTCTGTGAGAACAGCACCACCTACAGGCCTGGCATATGTACTACAGCGTCTCCAGCGCTTTCGAACGGCAATGGCCGTGGCTGTCTCCTCCTGATTGGTGGAGTTGGCCCAATAGCCGTAGCGCCACCGTCCTGACGTCAGGACAGTGTTCAAATCTGGATCAGTTTTTATCAGATCCGTTGCAGCCCCTTTTTTAGAGATTTGGGTATGGAGGAAAATAGAGAGGGTTGTGTTTTCTGACACTTGGTGAGTTCCCTGGAACACCGGGGACACATATTCATGTATAAAAGACGTACACAAGTGCATTTTGCATGATAGGTCCCCTTTAAATAATAATTTAAAAGAAAAACTATCATATTAAAATAACAATATTAAATAATTATTCAAATTGTACATCATGAATACATTTGTGAAGATAAAAAAGATAATTAATAATAATACACTTCCCAAATTGATTAGATGTTGGTGCTCAAAGGTCCCAGTTAGCTCACATTATACACCTTTTACTGTAACTCCTTACTCTTATGCTAACTGTGACAATTTCACACATTATCTCAGAGGATACGTGAAGTGTAGGGAGGACATTTTGAGGAGCCATTCAACGATGAGGAGGTCGTTTTAGTTTTCTAATGTGGTAAAATGTTTGTCTATGAATTTGCATGTTTTCTTTATAGGTTGTAAAAGTGCTCTGGTAATTTGTGTAAATAAATAAACCAGAGGCGACAAAAAGTCAAAGTCCAGTAAGGCAATCTAGTCATAAATCACCTCAATCATAATCTGTCAGTTCTCCATATCAGCTACAAACAAACCGTGTTATCTGCAGTAGAAAAACTAAGAGAGAAGAAGACAATTCTACTTTTTCCTACATTTCTACTGAGTTTTTCTGTTATTTCTACTCGTGAATCTGTTCCTCCACGTTCATGTTGTGGTTATAAAAAGGAACAATGCACAGAGAACATTCAGAAGCCCACACGGTATGAATCATGAGAGGAGATCTGGACATAACTGTGGTTATTTTAAGCCTAATGGACCCTCTTTCCACTCCTCTCCGACAGAGCAGACATATTTGTGGTCGCAGCCGAAGCGGTGAAGAACGAGGGATTGAAATTATTAATGAACAGTTTTATTTTAGAGATATCAAATATTTAAAATGACACAGAACCACTGTGACCTTTCAACTCCTTGGTGTAGTTAGTCGGGGGGGAAATCTATTCTGAGGATGTGAAACACTAAATATTGGTTGTGGCTTCTGCAAATGGTTTTTAGTTGACAAATGTAAAATACTCAGTTTGCGGTATTAAAATAAAAGCAATACAAATTAGTTTACGTCAAATATTTTGTTTCTTACCACTTAAATACAATTGATGGATTAATGTGTGGGAGAGAAACTCCCCCTGGAGGGAACACGGGGATTTTAGCCTTTGTAGACCATTTACATGCACACAAACCTATAGAACACACTATAGGAGAGGGAGAGTCCCTTTTTTTTAATACACGTTTTCAGGTTTTTAATCTAAAAAGTCTTTGTTTCTTCTGTTGTGTCCTAAACCCTTCCTCTCTCTCCTTCACCCAGATGGTTCTTCAGGAGGTTCGGTCGGCAGATCTGCCCTGCGGCCCCCTGGGTCCCGGCCCGCGGCCCCTCGCCCCCCTTCAGGTCGCTCCTCCTCTCCCTCCCCTCGCCCCCCTTCAGGTCGCTCCTCCTCTCCCTCCCCTCGCCCTCCCACAGGTCGCTCCTCCTCCCCTCGCCCCCCCACAGGTCGCTCCTCCTCCCCTCGCCCCCCCACAGGTCGCTCCTCCTCTCCTGAGAACCAGCGCTCCCACCGCCCCTCGCTCCCAGACATCTCTCGCCCCTCCTCAGCCGGCGGGATGAAGCACAGCACCTCCGCCCCCCCTCCCCCTCCCCCCTTCAACAGAGGGGCAGCCCGCAACAACGCTCCACCTACACCCAATCAGAAATCACACGCTCCAACTTCCTCCTCCTCCAACAACAATCACAGCCGAGAGAAGCCCCTCCCTCCGACGCCCAACAGAGGCCACACCTCTCCCAACTCTGTGAAGCCGCCTCCATCTTCAAGCCGACCCCCGACAGGCGGTTCTTCTGCTCCTCCTCCTCCTCCTCCTTACAGACCGAACACATCGAGCGGTGTCTCCAACGGGCCGTCACACGTGGATGGAGGCGGAGCTCCGGAGCTGCCGCAGAGGCACAACTCCCTGCACAAAAAACACACCTCAGGAGAAAGAGAAAGAGGAGGAGGAGAAAGAGAAAGAGGGGGAGAAAGAGAAAGAGGAGGAGGAGGACGCAGCCACGCTCCTCCTCCTCCCTCACCCTCTCCTTCCTCCCAGCTGGGCAGCAGACCTCCACCGCCCGTCAGAGAGCCGCCGGGACGCAGATCAGGTACGACCAGCTGCACCGTCAACACACTGTCAGTGTTCATGTCTCAAAGGTTAGAGGTCACTGATGCAATACGATATATACTTTGTCCCCCGTAAGGACATTTAGCTGACGCTTTCATCCAAAGCAACTCTGAATAAGTGCAATCAGCCATGGAGATGCAAACTCACAACAGCAAGAATCCTGCAGGTACTTTAGACCCCATTTACACGCATACGAAACGCAAACGAACCGAATACGATATCAAAAAAGTATTCCGTTCACACGAGACCGCTCGAAAGCGCTGGAGACGCTGTAGTACATATGCCCGGGGCCTGTAAGTGGCGCCACAAAATACACCAAAAGCAGCGAAGAAGACCCCCAAACATGGTTGCCCTTCTGCTTATGCCCCGCGGTGGATTTAGCAACATGTAGTTCTCCATGTCCACTTGTTGCTGATGGTTGTGAGGAGCTGTAGATTTTGCACTAACATCTGTAGCACTAGCTACTGACCATGCTACAGCAGTGAGCAGCAGAGGTGGGGCTATGGCTTCATCGTTATCAGGAAATGATCGTATAGGGCGTACACACGGAGCCGTTTGGCCCCCCAGAGCGTTCCGGTTGCAGATCTATCCACCTTGGGACCCGTTATCGTTTGCGGGGTTCGTTTCCGCGTTTCCGTTACGGCCTCGTGTGAACGAACGGGCTATACGCGAGAGAAAAGTAGCGGATACAACCCGTTTGCGTTCTCGTGTAAACACCGCCTTAGCTTCAAATAAGCCAAACATTTTGAAGTTGCTGCAGGGCTCAGTCGGCCATCATCATCGTAGGAGAAAAATATGTTTTTGTAGATCAGTTTGTGACCTAGAACTGCAGCTTACCACTATTTGTATTATTGATTTAACTTGAACATTATGATTATTTTGGTTTATTCTCTTTCCCTTCTGCTCCTGTCAGCTCCCTGCAGTCAACTCCAACAAAAAGCACAAACACTTAACATTGTTTTATTCTATATTGTCCAACAATTACATAATTCCTCCAATCATTTCATCACAGAACATGTGTAACTGTGTCAACACGTTAAGGATCAGTATTTAAAGCATCCCTCTGAGGAAAACAACATCTCAGAAGCAGGAATGTTCCTCCAGAGGCCGAAGCGAGTTATGACTCGTTATCTCTTAACCTCTGTTGTGCAACGCAGCATTAAAGCAGCAAACTGAAGCATTTCTTCCACAAAGATCAAACCTACTGCAGGTCCATTCCTGAAGAGTAGAGCAGAGGGCAGTGACAAGACTTTGTTTGGCTCAACTGAACGTCCTCTTCTGAAGCCAGGGCTCTGCAAAGATATGATTACGTTTCATATGTAGCTCTTATTGGTTACTCAAAGGGACACAAAAAAGGCATGAAAACAGTTGCATGTCATGCTGCAGTTTGATATGTATTATGGTAGGGCTGTGCAATTAATCGTATTTTAATCTCGATTACGATTTTGGCTTGCAACGATTACGAAAACAACGTAATCGAAATAAAACGATTATTATTTTTATAAAAAAAAAAAAAAAAAATGTAATTATTATTTTTTAATTTTTTTTTTTTTGGTTTTTCAGTTGAATTATACTTAAAGTTCAGGGTAATCAACTGTTAGAAACATACTGTTCACATTTTTGTTTCAATAAATGGATGTTTTCAAAGTAAATGGATAATCGTTTTTAATAATCGGGATATCAATTATTGACCAAAATAATCGTGATTAGGATTTTTGCCATAATCGCACAGCCCTATATTATGGTATCTTCCGCTGCGTCTGTGTTTTTGGATTCATTTCATTTTTATTTGTTCCGCTCATGGTACGCAAAACCCAATGTACAATAATTGCCAACAAAACATGTCTCTACAAGCACACCATAGAGCGAAAAGGAGCAGGGAGAAGAAACACATCTTATATGACCTGCCTCTTTCTAAAAGAAACTAAATAAATACAAATAGATGGTCTACCCTTCATAATAATTTTTTAGGATACCAAGAGAAACACAAAAAATACTTATTTCCCACTTGACGGTTAACGGAAACAAAACAACACGTGTATAAGGAAAAGGAAAAGTGCAACACCCTCATCTGAGTCCTACTGGAGAAGAAAGTGGAAAGCGGCGCATAATAATAATAATAACAACAATAACAATAACAATGGGACCTGCAAATAAAGATCACATCAAAGACATCAACAATATTTAGCAATGCAGGACCAGAGTACATCGACTTATTCACATTCTGCTTCATATTGTCCCATTTTTTTTTTTTAAATGTATACAATTTCTTTAACTGAAAAATACATATACAATTCTTTAGATCCTTCTGTTGAGAATTCCACAATTTTACACCGAAATACACATTTGCTTAAGAGGCTTAAAATGAAATTGTAATTCTTCTCACAGTTGAGGATGCACAGTATTTCACCACGTGGCGTTAACGGGCTGTGGCTTGATTGGCTAGCTGCTTCGTGCATAACGACAAAAACATCTGAGTTTATTTCCAATGAATCCTCCCATGTCTCCCAGATAAACTCTCAGATGAGTTGTCTTCCTCCTCAGAGCGGATTGAGCGGAAAATATAAATTCATAATTTGAATTCAGAGTGAACGCACAAACAGGAAGCCACTTGTTAGCCGGAGCTTTGTGTTGTGATTGGACGGCTCGAGGCCTCCTGGTTCCTCTGCATTCCTGAAGCTCTGTGGAATATTCCAGCATTCCTCTTCACTTTCACTCTCTGCTGCTTCTCCTATACTCTTATCATTAAGTTTCATGACCTCTGCTGCGTTACAATATTGTTCCTGATGATATGTGCCTTGTTTGTGCGGCACTTGATATTTTAAAGTAGATATAAAAGAGCTTAATGACTAACAGCAGCTACAGCGTGTGAAACTCGAAATTATTTCACAAGCGATGTTTTTAAAACTGGTTCCTTTCCATGGAGTCACTCATTCAAAGAAAATATAACTATAACCTCGGTTAGGGCTGTGCGATTATGGCAAAAATCATAAAAACGATTAATTGGGTCAATAATTGATATCACGATTATTAAATACGATTATTCATTGACTTTGAAAAAATCCATTTATTGAACTTTAAAACAAATATAAATAATAATTTGAACAGTATATTTTTAACTGTTGATTACCCTGAACGTATAATTCAATACAAAAATAAATAAAATAAATTATACATTTAAATAAATAATATCAAAATAATAAATACCAATAAACAAGATCAACAAATATTTTGGAGCGCACTTCCACAAGCTACTAAACATATATAAATATGAAAAATACAAATAAATGAGACCAAAATTAATTAGATCAAATATGTTGCAGTGCAGTCACAACCTAGCAAAGCTAAATAATTGTTTTTTCCGATTATGTTGTTTTCGTAATTGTGGCAGGCCAAAATCGTAATTGCGATTAAAATACGATTAATTGCACAGCCCTAACCTCGGTATACTTACTTGTTGTGGTTGTTGTTTTGCTTTAATGCTTTTTAAAAATGCTATAAGAGGGACCATTTAAAGATTATTTTCATGTGCTATCATTCCTATTATTTGAAATGTCCATCCCAGTTAGCCCAAGTCAAAGTGATGTCTCTAAATGTCTTGTTTTATCAGTTCAATCTTAAAAATATTCAGTTAATTACAGTAATAAAATCATAGAATCTCCAATTATGAGCATTTTCAGACATTTATTCATGATAATGTATTTTAATCGCTGTAGCTTCCTGCAGATCAGTTGCACAATCAGGGTGCCCGCGGGGTCTTAAAAAGTATTAAAAGTTGATAAATCAATTTAGCGAAAATGAAGGCTATTAAAAAGTATTAAACGGCATTTTCCAAGGTATTACATTTTGTAGCTTGTTTCCAATAAGTATATAAATTGTCCAAAGAGGTTGTATTCTACAGTCTGCCTGAATGTAATCATTGCGTAGGTGTGTAGTGTGATTCTGTGTAGTTTATTTATGGCATCCCGTTGGATTTGACGTCATCTGAACAGGACATCACACGCTCACTGCTTGATAGCGCGCGAAGGTCCGTTTACGCCGGTTGTTAAACAACATCGTTATGGGGAAATGCAAGTCTGCGTCCAAATGGTTGGAAGATAAGGAGGAAGGACAATCAATACTGTATATAGTCAATGTGAGGTAAAGTGTGTCGCCAATGTAACCGGTTAAAACTCAAAGAGCCGTAATTGTCGCCCGGAAGTGACGTAGGTGTTACTCTCATATATACACAGATTTCTCAAGTAGTTGCAGACCTACGAATGTTAGCCAATAGTTTCTAATTGGGTCCAATATAAGCTAATTACTGACCGTTTCCAAAGCATAAAAGTTAGATATTAAAACAGTACAATAATAAACCTGCTGCAGACAGTTCATCCATCACAGTAAATGTAAGGTTGGATGATTTTATTGTTTGTGAAAGTTATCTCTTTATATAATACTTCTCTGCATGTTATGTCATTCTAAACGCTGCAGCAGTGAAGCCTCCTTTTATCGTGGTGCGTTCAAGAACACTTCAACTTCCAGGAATGAAGAGTTACAGAAATAATGAAATCGTAGAGAAACAAACACAGATGGATGAAGAATGAGCCAAAATAATATGTAATGAAGTTTCAGATGTCGGAGTGTCCTTGAATGCACCATCAGTGGAACCTTTTTTGTTATCAGACTGCTTGAAATATCTCTACATGACGTGATGTCCAATTATCTACAATGTGTGATGGATGGGAACTAATAAAAGATACACTTTAACAACAAAATGAGGCCTGAAAATCTCAAAGGACTCGGATAGTTCTGGCACCAACATCCATTAAAATCGTATAATTGAAACAGCAATTTGAGTTACTTTAAATCGGAATCAAAAACCCATTATTGGTCCCAAAGAGGGGAAATGTACATTGTTAGAACAGATAAAGAGGAAACCACACGTTAATACAAATCAGTAAACATTCAGGATAAAAAAAGCACTATTGTAAACATTTTGTTAAACGTATAAACAGTATTGAAGTAGCAGCTAGATAACAGAAATAAATATGAAACAGTACAGTAGATTTTCAGTATAAGGCAGTGCTTCCCAATCAGGGTTACAGGGACACCTAGGGGTACGTTAGGGGATTGCAGGGGTACAGTGAAAGATATGGGATTGCAATTTTAATCCACACAAAAGACATGTTTAAATCAATGTTCATAAGCCTGGTGTCCCGCTCCCAGAACTATCAAAGGTTATGAAAGACTAGCAAGCTCTAGTGAATTAATAAGAGAAGCTAGAAGCGTGTCTTCATATAATTATGTTTCACTCAATAAGTGTAAATGTCAAGTTTGAATGCATTTGTATTAAATCATAACGGATGAGTGAGGGGGTTACTTATAGAGCCTTGAGATGACGTTGTTTTTAAAGTTTGTATAGCACACTTTAAAAACAACGTCATCTCAAGGCTCTATAAGTATGACATGTATTATTATTATTATAGAAGGGCCACCAGCTCAAGGGGTACACGAGATAAAAAAAAGGTTGGAACCACTGGTATAAAGTACAGTATTACATCAGTAACATCGTCCTGATCGTGTGTGTGTTGTCCCCACAGCTCCTCAGGTGCCTCCTAACGGGTCTCGTAACGGATCTCGTGACGCCCCTCCTCCTCCTCCGCCCCCGTATCGAGGCCACAGCGCTGCGGCCTCAGAGCCTCACAGCCGGGGGGGAAAACCTCCTCCTCCACCATCCTCTTCCTCCTCCTCGTCTTCCTTATCCTCAAGAACCCCAGCTGGACCCCCTCCCCCTCCCCCGCCCATCAGGAACGGCCACTCCTCCATCCCCTCCTCCAAGTCCATCATAGGTGAGTCGGGCGACATCATTTTCCTCCTAACTTGTCATTTATCACCAGAGATGGCAAAAGTACACACAACCTTTACTCAAGTAGAAGTACAGATACTCGTGTTTACAAATACTCTGGTGAAAGTAGAAGTACTGACTAAACTTCTTTGCTCAAGTAAAAGTAAAGAGGCTTTGAAATGTACTTCAGTAAAAAGTACCCATAACTAGCAGCTGTTTTAAAGAGTACCTGACCTCCCTTTATATTAATAGATCAATAATGTCATTGTTAGCTAATGAATGTTTCCATGCTGAACAACGACAACATGACAACGTTTTCATTGGTCCCTCTTCTTTAGAGAAGACCAGGAAATGATGGATACACGGATCGTGTTCAAATCAATAGGCACGCAATAACTCTAAATAATAATGATCACGCCACCAAACACACATTCAAACTAAAGGAACCAGCCTGTTTGGGAAATGTGAGAAGTAGAAAGTACAGGTATTTGTGTTCAACATGTAAGAAGTAGAAAGTACAGGTATTTGTGTTCAACATGTAAGAAGTAGAAAGTACAGGTATTTGTGTTCAACATGTAAGAAGTAGAAAGTACAGGTATTTGTGTTCAAAATGTAAGAAGTAGAAAGTACAGGTATTTGTGTTCAACATGTAAGAAGTAGAAAGTACAGGTATTTGTGTTCAACATGTAAGAAGTAGAAAGTACAGGTATTTGTGTTCAACATGTAAGAAGTAGAAAGTACAGGTATTTGTGTTCAACATGTAAGAAGTAGAAAGTACAGGTATTTGTGTTCAACATGTAAGAAGTAGAAAGTTCAGGTATTTGTGTTCAACATGTAAGAAGTCAAAGTAAAAAGTCGTCAGAAAAATGAGTAGTGGAGTAAAGTACTGATACCAGAAACATGTACTTAAGTAATGAAGTATTTGTACTCCACTACTTCCCACCTCTGTGATTCACCACCTGAAGATTTGTCTTGCTCTTTGTATAGCAGTTAGGAGTCAAAGCCACATTTGAGACGTCACAAACACTGTTATTAAAGGCTCTAATTCGTCTTGTTCCTAAACTGAACTTCATGTTTTAAACCGGAGTAGTGACACTGCTCATATCCCAAGATAACTGGAATACCCTTTCGCGATCAAAAACTCCCGACAGAACAAGATTTCAGATGTGAAGACTCAAAGGGGAAACCTGAACAGTTTGAATGTATGGTTTGGACTAGCTGCTGTTTTCTTTTTCAATCTACAAATGATTCTGCTCTTGACCTAATATCTAATCTTTCATTCTTTTCTCTTACTAAGAATTGTTCTCCTATCGCCCTCAGCTGTGTGTTTAATCCTCACTCAAGTTGAGGTGGGGTTTCTTTCTGATTTTGACCTGATGAATGTAGTCATAGTCAAATGTTCCGCTGCAGAAATGATATGCAAATCTCTTTATGTTTCCTGTTCTACATCGTTCTACATCGTTCTACGTCGTTCTACTAGATCACAGTTTGCTCTCCCACTCGCAGCACAGAGAAGACCTCCAAGGACGAGTCAAATGTGTTAGAGAACGTTTATTTATACCTTTATTCAAATTACAGATTTTAGTAATGGATTTATTTTCTTGAGTATTGACGTCATAAAATAAGATGACAGACATTCACAGCTTTATTAGAAAACTACATAAAAAAATAAACGTTATAAATTCTTGCACTGTCAATTCTTACGCTGCGTTCACACCGGACGCGACGCGATGTTTGGGGGCGGCGCGATTACATGTAAAGTCAATGCAGAGATGCGGACAGACGCGAGCTCCGACGGCGAGCATGAAGCGGTTGATGCGAATGTCGCGCCGCGATTGAGGCGTCAAATTCCCGTGACGCGATCTTGCGGTAGCCAATCAGCGGTGAGGATCTCAGCCTGCCGTCACTGACGTAGAACCAGAAAAGCAAAACATCAGCTGTTAGCAGTCAGAGCTCACAGCTCCTCATGTCTGTTCAGAAACTAGACAAAAGTGAAACAAGTACAAACCACAGACTGCCTGTGTCATGGTGAATACAGTCGCTGCTTTATTTATGTCTGTATAGGCCGTTGTTGTGAGTGTGGACGGTCGGAGCATATACTGCGTTAGCTTAGCCGATCTCCATTTAGAAAACACGCATTTTAAAAGGTGTTTCGCCTGCCGTCTGTCTGCAGACTTGACAAAGCATTAATTCATGGTTTTTACTAACCGGTATCAGTATGTTGTTACTTCGGCATCATTTAGAAACGTGTATTACAATTAAATCACGGTCAAATATGTTCATCTTGTTGTAGTTGTAGCTCCCGAGCCAGCGCGTCTTGTTTGAATGATGCGAGTAAACACAGCTCACAGCCGCGGTGAAACACGAGCGTTTAGAGCGAAGCGAATATTCGCATTGCGTCCGGTGTGAACGCAGCATAGGATCATAATATTACTGACTTTATATATTTGACTTAATGATAGAGAATAAAACATTGTTAATAAAGTTACTTCGTGTGTGAGTTTGTATTTTTGAGATAATCAGGGTCTCAAAGCGGATTTATACTAAATATCTTTAAGTTACAACATATTGTGTCAAGAATAAGAAGTGTTTTTTAACGCGTGTTGTTAAAGGGTAATCCATTTGTGTGCATTTCATATTACAGGCTGTTCTTGTTTTACTTAATTGTCTATATCTGCCTAATAAGCCGGTCATTTAATGTTTATTCACATTTTTTTTGTACGTTTTTCTTCCTCAGATGATTTTGAATCCAAGTTTAACTTCCACCCTATTGAAGACCTTCCACCTCCAGAGGAGTACAGGAATTTCAGCAAGGTCTACCCCAGCAAAAACAACAAGGGTACGCGCTTTTAAAACAATTTTTTTATTCTAAACTCCTTATACATTAATCTTTCTGTGGTGTTGGCTTCTTATGTTCTTTCATAGTGTTCTCAGACAAGTTTAGTTTATTGGACCAATACAAAAGAATTGATGAAAACATAATATTTAACTGGAAGAACAACTTAAAGGTAGGGTAGGTAAGAATGGAGAAACCAGCTCGAGTGCGCTAGAATTTGAAAATACACAACCGGAAAAAATCTGCCTCTTCCTTCAGACTTCCTTACAGAGCCCCTCCTCCAACACACACGAACGCGCACATGACCAATGAGGGCACGAGATAAGTTTGTGCCCAGATGGAAGGCTGATAGGCAGGTAGGCCATCCAGTTATTTTAGCCGGGCCGGCTCAGATGATTGGTCGTGCTTTTTACAGTACTACGGCTTCCACAGATGACATTTTTTTAAATATATTTTTTGTCAAAGCATTTAATATATTCATTGCTATCGGGATGTTAAGAGCATTCCATGGAATATAACAAGTGTTTCTGAAGTGAATTACCTACCCCACCTTTAATATCAAGAGGTTAAAACAAAAAGGCTAATATACTCTATTTTTTACGGTTTACAGTTATATTATCTTTACAGGTAATGATTAGTTCCTTATTTCACAACCTCACAACTCTCATTTAGTGCCTTGTTGGTGCAGCTTTAGATCAGTGATAGAGCGACTAGGCTGATACGTTTTTTGAGGATGCTGCTTCAATCTCTGGCTTCAGTAATCTGTCCCATTTGTGATACTATTATTGTCACGTTTACTGAAGTAGGTAGTGACAGCACTAAGAATAAACTCCAAGAAACTGACATAGAAGTTTGTTGGTGACATCGTGATAACATTAAACTTCATCTCAGATTCATAGTTTGCTGTATTTTTATTTTGACTAATGAGTTATAATTCTTCTCTAAAATATTCCTTTACCTTCAGAAATGTCACCCCACCATCAGATTGTTATTTACTTATTTCCAGCTTTTCATCCGCCGTCTTGTACGATGTATAACCCGGAGTATTTTTTCACGTATTTGTCATTATGAGTGTTCCTTATTTCACCGAGTGTTCCTTATTTCAATGAGTGTTTCACATTTAGGAGGAGGTTCGTCTCAGCCTTAGCTTCTGAACAGTAAACACGTTATTCAGTTTCCTTTTGAATGCCAGGATTGTTAACGTCTTCCTATAATGATTGATCGCTTGTTGACACAGAGCCTTTACTTGCTGAGGAACTGTCTCTGAGAGCAGGGAGATATTTAGCCAATTATTAACCTTTTTTTTAGGGCTGTATAACATTTAAATTAGGGCTGTTAACACTGCCGATTAATCTGGAAACCTTAAACGTAGGCTAATACCAGCATGGATGTTTACCATGAATTGAATGGCATTGAAAAAGCGTGAAAATGTGCTCAAGCTAAACGTATTGCTGCGTGTCTTTACGCCAAATATCCAGAATCTATGGAAAACATCTCTTGAACTTCCCCACTCAGTCCCTCCAGACCCATAGCCATATGAACTTTGACCCTAGGAGATAGAGGACAGAGATAGAGGACAGAGGTGGAGAAGCACAACGTGTCTACGTAAATGCACTCCCTTAGGATAGGTTGAGGGTAAGAAGTAAGAAACAGGTGAAAAGGCACACCTCTGTTTGAAAGATATATTAAACATGCATTATAAAATAGAAAAACCTCTGATTCCTCTAAATATATACATCTATCTAAAGTTACCAGTTAATTGTGCGGTTCTTTATCACAACACCACACGTGTATTGGTTTTATCTCCAAGTAAATGCTAGTATTTTAAACGTGTGATTGATAATGATTAATCACAGATCATTATTTAATTCTTTAATGGACTGACGGCCCTAATCTGAGTCTCTGCTTCTGTCCTCAGGCATGATGCGAGGAGCTCCTCCTGCTCCGCCCGTCGGGAGGTGAACTCAGGACTTTAACTCTCAGTCAGCCGTGGTGGAGACAGAGTGGTGAAGAAGAAGCACTCAAAACACACACACTAACACTAAATCCACCAGCTGAAAGCACAACACTACGACTCCTCGCCGGTCTCCTTTCTTCGGTCTTTGCACGAGGAACAGAAAACCACTCGGAGCTCAAGAGGCTTCATGTCATATCAGGACCGAAACTCCAAACACTTCCACGTCTGTGCATTCCTCCTTTTTCTTTAATCGTGATAATAATGGTGATTTTCATAATTCCGTTTGATTTTAATATGTTGGTGTCAGCATTAGTTTTTGAAGGGGAAGGGGAAGGGGGGGGGGGGACTTAAACACTAAAATGAGAGACTTGTGAATGAATGTTTGCAGCAGAGGAAATCCCCACGAAAACTGATAATGCCATGAATGTGTGGGGCTTATGACGGTTATTGTTTTATTGGTTTTTTTTGTGTCTTTAAATAGCCATTCCAGCAGTGCCAGGTGAGGGTGCGCTTGAATTCTGTGTCAGTGTGCCAAAAGCGGGTGGAGTTAAACGATCTGCACAGGACAGTTTCCATACATGTTTGATTTATAACTGACTTTTTAAATTTTATTTCCTTGTTTTTCGACTAAATGCTTTAATATAGGGCTGAACAATGCTTTGAAAATCTGATCAAAATGCCAAAAAACTTCCGACTGCAGTTTCTATATTGCAGGACGCACAATGCAAGGGTTAACTGTGAGTCAAGAATACAACTTTAAATGTTATATTATCGAGCTGCAGGGAGCTCCTTGTCTACATATCATATTTTCTTAGACTCCCTGCTAAAATCAAAACATAATCATTCTTATATCTTCAAAAAAATCTAGAATAATTATGTAAGAATTATCATTCCTTCTAAAATCGCAACTTCTCCACAAGTCAAAAATGATCACACACTTTTCAAATCGTTCAGCCCTACTGGAAAGCTTGCCGGAAACATCCACAGGTCGTTCGTTTTTTTACACTTTGGAGAGGGACACATTACGGTTTTGTCTTACTTTGGTACCCCTTATTACTTACCTTTCTTTTTGGGGGTGTCTATATTTCCATCTTCAGCCGATGTTGCACGAGCCGAGACACTGTGCATGACGCTTATTTATGCACGTATGATAACAGGAAAACCCCTGGGATCAGGATTCACGTGGATGTGACAAAAATCCAGAGACACTACGAGTCCCTGATTTGTCCCTGATGTGTTTGAGAATCACTCAGCGGAGGCCAACGCTAAATTATTTTCTCGTTTACTCGACCAAGTATGTATGAGATGTTTATAAGGGATGATTTATCTACTTCCTGTCCAGGGAAAGTCCGTTGAAAAGCTCTGGTCTGAATCCATCATTTTACCTTTTGCTGCTGGTGGCCCTTTTGTAAGTGTGTTTGGCCAGAGAAAGATATTTAGATGAATTGCTATGCAAGGAGCAGTTTGTACAGATGGTAGTTGGTAACCAAAAAGAAAGACAGAAGCAACACTTAAGTGCCAGAGAGCTGTGGAAGCAGACAGGTTATTTACTTACTCTTTAATCTTGATTTAACACTAACTACATGATTCTCAATGCTGCAGCGCCCCCTGCTGGTCATGCCTTACACCGGTCTGTTGTCACTCATGGGTACCTGTGCTTTTTGTTTGTTTTTTAGGGGGGTAAAGATGATGACAACAAGGTAAATAAGAAACAAGTTTATTTGAAAACGCAATAAATATTGTATATTGACATTAAGGAATATGGTAATCATAGTTATTGATCTATTTTTATGTTGTAAAAAGCGTGTAATATAGGAAAGAGAAATGATTATAACAAGTCGGTGAGCTTTGGTGTGATAGTAGCACTTCTCTGGATGTTCGGCCATGAGGGTGAATTAGCTGAATGGATGTGTGCGACGATGTTTGCCAACGAGCCAACATTCTGGGGATCCCGTTTGGTATGAATCCACCTGACGGGTAGTGTAGAGACGAAGACTAAACAATGTCACTACACTTCTTGTCCCAGATGTATGCTCACGTTAACGTCTCCTCACACTGTCCACGCTGAAGAGCAAAAACCCCTGTGGTCATTTCATGTTAATCAACCATGTTTTTATCATTTGAAATCATTTCAAATAAATATGGGGAAAAAGGGTAACTGATGCAAGGTGTTTTTGTGTTCTCTTCCTGCTATGATGTATGTGTTTTAATGGGTCTGTCATTTGAAATGATTGGGGGGAAACATGTAAATCCTTAAATAAAGTCGAAGTGGCATTAGCACTACACAAAGATAATCAAAGACACATTGAACATCTGTTGGTGTCACTGTTATAACTTTATCTTGGATTGATTGTATGAGTTTTTGTGTAGAATCTGACTCAAACTGGGCACTACAGCTATCCGGTGCATTGGCTCGGTCATTTGGGAAATTGATCTGAAAATACAAAACTTTATTATGAATATGTTGTCACTTATCTCTAATTCTCACTGAGAGCATGATGTGTTTTAAGTGATGCATAGTTCGCTTATTCTTCATTTTACAGTGGATGTTATCCTCGGTATCTTTTATATTGGCTTATCCTATCTTAGATATGTTGCAATAAATAAACACAGGGTTCGTTAAATTGCATATGCAGTATTTTACTGATGTAGATGGTTTGGCTGGGAGGCTGTGGCTCAGTGGATTAGTGCGCTGATCTTTGAATCAGGGGGATAGCAAGTTTGAGTCCCACTGCAGTCAGCATGTCGTTGTGTCCCTGGGCAAGACACTTCGCCCCGAGTCGCTCCTGTGGGGATTGCCCACAGGAGCGAATGTATGTAAGTCGCTTTGGATAAAAGTGTCTTACAAGTGACATGTAATGTTTAACAATTAGGGGTTCAAGATTTAGTAACGAACTGAAGTGAATGAGCTTTTGAAGGTAACTAAAGCTGTCAGACTGTACATATATCCCTCTGAAATGTAGGGGAGTAGAAGAATAACATTGAAATGATACAGTAGCACTGCCTAATGCTAATGCAAACTAAGGGGTTAGTAAATGAGGGCTAAAGGTCCACCATTATAGCTTTTTGCTTTTTCTATTAATCTTGTTTTGCTTATTTAGAACAATTGTTTTAAGGGTTTTCTGAAGTAAATTCCCTTTTTGGCTAATAAATAAAATAATGTATTAATATAATATCTTAGAAAACAGGTTTTACAAAGTGCTTTGACAATAGATTAGATTTATTTAGATTTATTTTATTAATCAGATTTTGGCTAATAGTTTTGTCAAAGCAGCATGTAAACAAGGAATTGCAAATAAATAAAAATAAATATAAACGTATACTAACAACAGTTATTAAAACGCAATAAATATACACAATAATTGTGGATAAGGCGGGAGGGTTCAGCTGAGGGTAATCATTTACCAGGAAATTCCGCCAAAATGTACCTTTTTAAATCTCCCGCGGACTATCAGCCAATCAGATCGACCAAAAAAAACCCGCCAAACTGAAGTGACCTAACCCGAGACTCCGCCCACTTTTCGTTTCTCGTCACATTCTACAGACAGCTTTCAACATGTGGACTACTCTCACAGTTTCTCTCAGGTAATAATCTTACTTATACTTTCATTTTATTATATTTTATAAACCCAAGTAGGGGGAATAATATTGAAGAAGATGTAGTTCAGTCTTTAATTCATGATTTTAGGAGGGCTCGTGTATTCTCTGCAGGAAACCTTAATATCTGTGCTTGTTGAACTCAGTGACTACAGGTTGAACTGCAGGGAGACTAACATGTAATGCTCAATACTCTTTAATTCAGGATCCTATAGTTGACTTTCCATTGCAGTTACTCTCCCCACATTTTAAAGAAAGTGGTGCTTTTGTCAATGTGGGTAAAGTTATTGTACAGCTTGCCTTATTGGGTAATTGTAGGACCTGCCACATGTCATCTTATATCCTAAAAATAATATAGAAGTTTAATTCTATTATTAAAATAAATGCTCGATATACAATATTAAATAAATATACTCGCCAGTTTTTTGCTTGCACTAATAAATCTAATGCAGTTTAATACAATAGTCCTACAATAACAACTCTGATACCTTCAGATCAAATGTTTTTATTTATTAAAATAGTACACCATTCTTCTCCTCTTCCTCCTCTTCCTCCTTCTGTTGGCGGATGTCAAACAGCTTTGAGATGCATTTGCTGCCACCTTCTGGACTTGAGTGTTGATCAGCAGAGCTTTCAGAGGTGGGAGAAGTAGCCTACTCAGAGTAAAAGTAGAAGTACTCAGATCTTGTACTTTAGTAAAAGTAGAAGTATCAGAGTGTAGGAATACTCTGTTACAAGTAATAGTCCTGCTTTCAAAATGTTACTCAGTAAAAGTAGAACATCAAGAGCATCATAGTTACTTCACAGATGTGGATGAATGATGTGAAATATAATCAAGTGTTAAATCAGACTTTAGTTCCACCTGGAGTAAATTCACAAGCTACCCTGCAGTATACAAAGTCATTCAAACTAGCTGCACCTTTACCAGCTTTGAGAACACTTTCATGATCAATCATTATAAAACATATCATATATATTATTCTGAAATGGACCAATCTGCACAATGACTACTTTTACTGTCGCTACTTTAACTATATTTTGATGCTAATAGTTTTCTACTTTTACTTGAGTAACATTTTGAATGCAGGACTTTTACTGTAACAGAGTATTCCTACACTCTGGTACTTCTACTTTTACTCAAGTACAACATCTGAGTACTTCTACTTTTACTCAAGTACAAGATCTGAGTACTTCTACTTTTAGTGAAGTTTAATTGCATCTTTATTTTTCATTATAAAATTAAGAAACAAATATACAATTTAGGGTTTGATTTTATAAATGTGGATTTATGAATATAACATTTACAAATGAATTACAACCGGATACGTAGACAATAGAAAACGAAAAAACTACAGGGCGGTCTCAGCGGATGTCGAAACAAATGTCACTTCCTGTGCATCTGGCGCGGGATTTAGGATTGAAACGTAGTATATAAAGGATTTAAAGCAGAGCCAGTCACAGCTTTAAGCCCAGCTGACAAGCGACACGTTTCTATTCAATCTTCTTTTTAATTTAAGTTGTTGGTATATCGGTTTAATTATGTTGCGGAAACTACTTATGTTACTGAGTATTTTCGAGTTTGCTGAGGGTAAGTTGAACTATAACGTGACATGTCAACACTGCATGAGTGTGTAGTTATTTACAATATAACGTGTTAGTAGCCTACTATGTTATTGTACTGACATCGGTACTGTTTTCTCTATTTAAAGGTTACAGGTACAACTTTAAACTAAGTTATTTTGCAGATTTGGATTTTAATGATATGAAATGTAATCAGTCAAGTATTGATCATAGATTGTATTGTTTGACGTGTTTGTTAAACATACTGTACGCAATGGCCGCTGGCGCCATGTTATGTTTGTTATTGTTGAAATGTCAACATGAGATGTTGGTTAAACGCTTTCATTTGAGCTTTTAAATTACGCTTAGAGTTTCAACTGTGTTATTTTCCCTAAGGGTGATTATCAGCAAGAAGTGAGATGTTTTACTCAAATATAAGTTTAAATACTACAGTGTAAAAATACTCTGTTTATAATTAAAAGGCCTGCATACAAACTGAAAGGGCATCAGTAGGTTAATAAGTAATTATTGTGTGTAATGTCTAATTTTATAATCATATACATACTATTACTGTATTATTATAATTCACTTGGTAAAGGTGGAGCTACTTTAATTACTTTATAAACTGCTGATTATCTTAACCTATAATTATATATCATAGTTTATGTATTAGTAGTTTTATCTGAATATGTCAGTAATTTATGTTTGTTAATTGTAGTGGAATTAAAAGTTCAATATTAGTTTCCAAAATGTAGTGGAGTAGAATTATAAAGTAGCACCAAATGAAAAATTACCCCAAAATCCTACTTTTATGCGGTACTCAAGCAACTACATTACACCACAAATTAAAAAAACGTTTAGGTTACTCTCCCTTAGTTACATTTTACGTATTTTTCCTCATAAAAACTAAAGTGGATTTTTGTAAACAAACATTTAAAAGGTCATTTTGAAATATTTGGTAGGGATGATGTGGTCAGGAAATGTATCTCAGTGAATGTGGAAGATAATATGGATGAATAATTTTACTGCAGTTTTTTTACTTGAGTTTTTGTTTTTTAACATGGTTCAATCTCAATGATTTAAAAAGGATAGCTTTTCTTTTAAAACTGTTTCTTTCTTTCTTTTTACCCAGGACAACCTGCATGTCTTCCCTCTCAGCCTGTCGAGGCCGTGGAGGGAGGATCTGCGACTCTTCGGTGTCGTCTGGACGAACCCATCGACCTGTCCTCTGAAATAGTGGAATGGAATAGAGGGAACGGTCACGTTCATGTTCATCGAGGTCAACACAACGACCCTGACCCCCAGATGCTTCAGTACAGAGACAGAACCACTCTGAATCATGGAGACCTGACCACAGGAGTCGTGACTCTGACCATCTCCAACATATCTCTGTCTGACAATGGATCTTATGAAGTCTATCTCCCAAAGCTGAAGGTCACATGTTTGACTCACCTCACCGTCGGTAAGAGTTTAATACTGAACAGCCTGGAAGCTCTGAGAGGCAAGTGAGAAACAAATCATGTCTGTTAAAAGTGCATGGAGAAATTAAGACTCACCTGGAACAAACACATGAATGTTTGTTCTCATTTTTAATGAACACAATCTGGTGATTCAAGTTTTTAAGTTTCATCTAAATAGTTTTCTCTCCTGTGTTTATGACTCTTTTTTTGTTGCCTTTTTTATTTACTTTGTCATTTTTAATTACAAAATTAACGGTGACATTATGTGAAAAAGATTCAGACAAATAACCCGAACATTATGATTATCTAATACTTGTACCAGGAAAAAAAGTTTAGATGAGGATAATCTTTCAAATCTACTTTTAAAAAAGGCATCTCTGAAAGAGGATAGGAGTGAAGGGTTCCACTAACTAACTTTCTAACAACGAGTGAATATTTAAAGTGTTTTCTGTCATGGTGTTCGTTGTCACAAGTGGCTGAAGTGCGTTAAACAGAAGTAAAGCGTTCATCTGTTTCTTCTGTGCTAGTCTTAATTTTGCAATGCACGCTAAACACAAGGTACATATATCGCATGTAACGGTACGTCCACGCGGTTCCGTCGCGTGCTTCAACGGAGACTCTTCCCATTCACTTTGAATGGGGTGACGTCACGCTTTGCCGAACTGCATTGTGGTTCCGTCCCGTCGCTTTGCCTCCGTTGCTCGCTTCGAAAGTTGAGAAAAGTTCAACTTTTCAAGCGTCTACGGAAGCGCCAGCCAATCAAATCACATGCCAGTACAAGCGCTAGCCAATCAAACCGCGTGCTTGTGTGTCCGGGGCGGGAGATTCATGTGATTGGTTGTTGGTCGCACACCAGACACGCCCACAAGCTTCAACGCAACGGAACCGTGTGGACGTACCGTAAGCAAGTAACATTCATTACAGTCATGGCTTTCTTCATGGCTGACATGTATTACATCATGACATGTTTCTGTGGCGACTGAACTCCCAGTGAGTGCAGCCGCGTGGACGATAAACTCTTAGCTGTGATGCGTTCCCACTAAAGGGGTCCGTACTGAGGATAAAGTTTAGGATGTTTAATTAAGAAACAAGAACCAACCAAGGTCCAAACAGTCAACAGAAAATATCCAAGCTAATCTCCCCCTCATTGTAATTCCACTAACCCCCACATACACCAGGTGCTCTAAATACCAGAAACCGCACCATGTGACAAATACCTGAGATGATCAGTTACCAATGTGTGTTGTGTTGACAAATAATGAGAATAACAAAACAACAAACACAGGCTAACTTAGCAAGTTTAGTCTAATAAGTTTCAAACTGAGGTCAGATCGATGCTCAGCGGCCTCTGCTGGTAAGAAAGCTCAATAAGAAACATGTCTTTTTAAATGTACTACATTTTGTATTTATAGTTATTGAAGCTTTTTTCTATTGTATCTGCTGTGCCACTTTTGCTCTAACAGTTACATGATGTGATTTAACCACCAACGCATCTCAAAGGTCACCTATTATGCAAAATCCACTTCTTCATGTCTCTTCGACATCAACATGTGTCCCCTCTTCTTCATGTCTCTTCTACATCAACATGTGTCCCCTCTTCTTCATGTCTCTTCTACATCAACATGTGTCCCCTCTTCTTCATGTCTCTTCTACATCAACATGTGTCCCCTCTTCTTCATGTCTCTTCTACATCAACATGTGTCCCCTCTTCTTCATGTCTCTTCTACATCAACATGTGTCCCCTCTTCTTCATGTCTCCTCTACATCAACATGTGTCCCCTCTTCTTCATGTCTCTTCTACATCAACATGTGTCCCCCTCTTCTTCATGTCTCTTCTACATCAACACGTGTCCCCTCTTCTTCATGTCTCTTCTACATCAACACGTGTCCCCTCTTCTTCATGTCTCTTCTACATCAACATGTGTCCCCTCTTCTTCATGTCTCTTCTACATCAACATGTGTCCCCTCTTCTTCATGTCTCTTCTACATCAACATGTGTCCCCTCTTCTTCATGTCTCTTCTACATCAACATGTGTCCCCTCTTCTTCATGTCTCTTCTACATCAACATGTGTCCCCTCTTCTTCATGTCTCTTCTACATCAACATGTGTCCCCTCTTCTTCATGTCTCTTCTACATCACCATGTGTCCCCTCTTCTTCATGTCTCTTCTACATCAACATGTGTCCCCTCTACTTCATGTCTCTTCTACATCACCATGTGTCCCCTCTTCTTCATGTCTCTTCTACATCAACATGTGTCCCCTCTTCTTCATGTCTCTTCTACATCACCATGTGTCCCCTCTTCTTCATGTCTCTTCTACATCACCATGTGTCCCCTCTTCTTCATGTCTCTTCTACATCACCATGTGTCCCCTCTTCTTCATGTCTCTTCTACATCACCATGTGTCCCCTCTTCTTCATGTCTCTTCTACATCAACATGTGTCCCCTCTTCTTCATGTCTCTTCTACATCAACATGTGTCCACTCTTCTTCATGTCTCTTCTACATCAACATGTGTCCCCTCTTCTTCATGTCTCTTCTACATCACCATGTGTCCCCTCTTCTTCATGTCTCTTCTACATCAACATGTGTCCCCTCTTCTTCATGTCTCTTCTACATCACCATGTGTCCCCTCTTCTTCATGTCTCTTCTACATCAACATGTGTCCCCTCTTCTTCATGTCTCTTCTACATCACCATGTGTCCCCTCTTCTTCATGTCTCTTCTACATCAACATGTGTCCCCCTCTTCTTCATGTCTCTTCTACATCAACATGTGTCCCCCTCTTCTTCATGTCTCTTCTACATCAACATGTGTCCCCCTCTTCTTCATGTCTCTTCTACATCACCATGTGTCCCCTCTTCTTCATGTCTCTTCTACATCAACATGTGTCCCCTCTTCTTCATGTCTCTTCTACATCAACATGTGTCCCCTCTTCTTCATGTCTCTTCTACATCACCATGTGTCCCCTCTTCTTCATGTCTCTTCTACATCACCATGTGTCCCCTCTTCTTCATGTCTCTTCTACATCAACATGTGTCCCCTCTTCTTCATGTCTCTTCTACATCAACATGTGTCCCCTCTTCTTCATGTCTCTTCTACATCAACATGTGTCCCCTCTTCTTTCATGTCTCTTCTACATCACCATGTGTCCCCTCTTCTTCATGTCTCTTCTACATCACCATGTGTCCCCCTCTTCTTCATGTCTCTTCTACATCAACATGTGTCCCCTCTTCTTCATGTCTCTTCTACATCAACATGTGTCCCCTCTTCTTCATGTCTCTTCTACATCAACATGTGTCCTCTCTGTGTAAAGAGACTCTGGAAGTTTCAGGAACAAAGATTCTCTCTCTTTTTGTCCTGATCAATGATGTCATAACGATGTCTTGGCTTGTGTAACCATTAGCCAATCAGCAACCCCCCCCCCTTATCACCTGAATCTCCTCCTAGAGCACCATTGTGTTCTTTGTAACCAAATCTCTCTCAGAGGGGCGTGGGGAGGGGCTCCTTATTTTCATCTAAAGTAACAGACAGAGAATCAGCACTTTGGAAACAGGGCTGAAACAGAGGGGATTATGGGATGCTGCAATGATCTGTTTGGTGTTTCAGCCAATCAGAGACAGGTTCTGTATATATCTGAGACCTGTAATATATTGATGAAGAACAGTAAAATAGGGGACCTTTTAAAACTAAGTATTTTCTTTAAAGTCTCTAAAACTGTCCAAATGTTCTTCTCCGCAGCACTGCCTCTTGCATGTCTTCCCTCTCAGCCTGTCGAGGCCGTGGAGGGAGGATCAGCGACTCTTCAGTGTCGTCTGGACCCCCCCATCGACCTGTCCTCTACAACAGTGGAATGGAATAGAGGACACACCCGTTACGTTCATGTTTATCGAAGTCGGCGCGACGACCCTGATTCCCAGATGCTTCAGTACAGAGACAGAACCACTCTGAATCATGGAGACCTGACCAGAGGAGTCCTGACTCTGACCATCTCCAACGTATCTCTGTCTAACAATGGACCTTATGAAGTCTATCTCCCACAGCTGGGGGTCAGATGTTCGACTCACCTCACCGTCGGTAAGAGTTTAATACTGAACAGCCTGGAAGCTCTGAGAGGCAAAACAATTACCAGCATATCAGCATCTTTTGATAACAACCAACAAACCCCACAAAACTCAAAGCCCAAAACTCACCTTAAACATTACAATGTGTGTTTATGACTTTAAGAAACAGGAAGGGGAAAAGGGTTTTGATAGATTTATTGTTTTTAAAGGTTTTTTTCCTCACTCTTTCAACAGTAACAAAGGAGCAAGAGAACCAGACCAAGAGGAACGACTCCAGCACAACCTCACCTCCAGCTGGAGAGAGAAATGGTACATTATTTAAAAACCTCTGTAGAAAAATGTAGTGTCTTTGTCCCTCTGGGTAAAGGACAGTCTGATAGTGGGAGTTGATGTGAAACTGCATCACCTTGGCTCTTCTTGTAAACTGAAATCTCCTCTGATTGTATTCCAGATGCTTCAAACAGAGAGGCTGGTCGTGCTGCTATCATTCTCACAGTTCTCCTGATTCTCTGCGTTCTCGTTGTTCTGCTGGTTCTGAAGAGTGGGAAGATCCGTAAGTTAAAAAACAAAACAACTCCTGCTTCATAAGGCTGGACGTGATGGAGGAAAACTAATATCACAATAAGTCTGACCAAATATATCCCTTGATTTTGTAACTGCAGTTTAGATTTGACTCATCAGTAAAGTGAATATAACGGCTTAGAAATAACTGAACAGCAATAATTGTTTGGTAATTTCAGAAACTCACTCAACTATAATTCAGCCTTTACTACCATGCAGATACAAATGAACATATGCAGTATAACAATATCCAGAATCTATGATTATATCTACTTTCATATGACAACATGGATATAAGATCATCACTATAAGGCCTGATGCATGTTTGGTAAACCAAGATTACCAGTGAAACCAGTAGGTGTTGCTTTATTCCACTAAACACATGTGCTGCTTTTTGGCTGTAAACATTGCAGTTTTGTCTTTACATGAAATATCACATGCTTCCTGTCTGAGTTTTAGATTTATAAAGTAAGATTGAGATGACATGAATTTGTTATTTCACTTTTTCATTTGACATCTCTCCCAAACTTGGTTTCTCTCTTTCAGAGGGATGGATGGAGACGCTCAGAGGAGGGAAGGACAGACAAACAGACGGTGGGGAATGAATGCGAAAATAAAAATCTGAACACGGACGCAGAAACTGGAGACCTGTAGAGAAACGGGTCAGAAACCTCTGTCTGATAGTTACCCGCTGCTAAATGTTCAATTTTCCTGCTGAAAACTAACCAGATAGATATTATATCCTCTCTGCTGGCAGAGGTACAAATATACAGGATTAAAAACAATGGGACCAATAAAAGGGTCATTCCTGAAATGCAGGACATTTTTGGTCCCACCTACGAAATGTCAAATAATCCTTGCCTGAAAAAAAGGAATTTATTTCCAACCCTGTTACTATAATAAGAGTAATTAGAGTTAAAGGGTAGCATTTCCTGCAGTTCAGTGTATTACCTTTAGTCAGATGTAATGTTTACGTGTAATTTAGCATAATCTACCTGCTTTACATGAATCTTATTTTCCCAGATTATGAATTGCCTTTTTTTATCGGCACCAGGGAGCCTGAGCATGTTCAGTTTGCAACAACTAACAATATATCTGAACAGTTACCTCAAAATGAACAAAACGTTTAAGTTATATTTAGATCAAGAGTTTAATAGACATTTAAAAATGTATTTAAAAGTTCTAGCGCACCACTGAGCGCTGATTAAAAGAAACTAATAACACATCCAATAAGAAGTGAACCTTTGATGCCTGAGCTGCCTGAAGTGAAAATAAATTGATGAGTAACTTCCTGACAATCTGGAAAAAAGGGTTCATTTTTCAAAAGTTCTAATTCTGGAATGACCCTAAAGTGAGTTGTGAGTCCTCGGCCCAAATATCATGTTTTCCATGAGCCTAAAATGACCAAATATCTGTACCTCCACTCAGACTGCAGACATTCACGTCCTCCTCAGGAACATCGTTCAAACTGTGACCAAATACGTGCAGAACTACTGACGTTCCCATCGAGATCAGGCCCCCAGGAAGTGCGCCGGACTCTGTGCCCAAAATTCGTTGTGTCCAAACGGCGGTACTACAACTTCCGTATCAGTCCGTGACGTCACCCGGCCCAAAACAACTTTTCCCCATTGACTAACATTGGGAAAGAGACGTCTGTAAATCAGCGGATAATTTTTTTTAACTAAATACACTACCCAATATGAACTGTTGTATAGCCCTTATTAGAATCATTCGGTCCTTAAAGGTAGGGTAGGTAGGTTTGAGAAACCGGCTCGAGATACACTTTTTGTTATATTCCATGGAATGCTCTTAACATCCCGATAGCAATGAATATCTGAAGTGCTTTGACAAAAAATCCATAAAAAAATGTAATCTGTGGAAGCCGTAGAACTGTAAAAAGCACGACCAATCATCTGAGCCGGCCCGGCTAAAGTAACTGGATGGCCTACCTGCCTGTCAGCCTTCCATCTGTGCACAAACTTATCTCGTGCCCTCATTGGTCATGTGCGCGTTCGTGTGTGTTGGAGGAGGGGCTCTATAAGGAAGTGGGAGATTTTCTCCGGTTGTCTATTTTCAAATTCTAGCGATCTCGAGCTGGTTTCTCCAAAATTACCTCCCCCACCTTTTAAAGTTGTAAAATGCACTAAAAGCCGAATCTAGATTTATTCTCTCTCTCCATTCATTCTACTGAGCCGAGAGTGGGAGCTCGGGGGGCGGGGCTTAAGGGGCGCATGCTCTATGAGCGCACATACGGGTTCTTCTGCTCTGACAGCCAGGCATGATGGGTAATCTGTGACGTTTCGCCCTCTCAAAAGTTGGGCCATTTTGCCTTCATGCGCCAATGAGCAGCTCTCATAGGAAAGAACGAGACCCCGCCTCCCACGCTGTATCCAGTTCTTATTATACATCCATGATCGAGCTCAGGCCTACTTTGTGTTTACTGCTGATTAGCACCTGCTAGCTTCCTGATGCTACTCCTTCTTCTCCAAAGCAGGATCTAGCCGACTGTAATCTACTGGAGATAAACTAGTGAATATGAAGGCTTTATGTATTTTAATATGTGTGGTTCAGTTCAGGCCGTTGTGGGAAACGCTTTCAATCAATGAATGCTGCTGTTTGAAATTGTGTGCAAGTTTTCTTTTGATTTTTCTTTTATGTATTTTTCCTTCTTTTTTAAATGTATACTATTATTTATACTTTTACTTGTATTGCCTTTATGTCATGCTGTAAAAAGGGACTAAACTGCAGTTTGTTGGCATTTAGAAGTTATCATTGTATCTTCTTGTTTCCCTGAATGTAAATCAATAATTTCACGTGTGTACTTTTTAAAATTATGTTAATTGAATATCAGTGAAGTGAGTCTTTAATAATACCTATTGTGTGGTTGTTGCAGTAAATACTGTGTTGTTACTTGAGCCAGAGCCAACAGGAATATGTTTTGATTTGTAATTGTTTTTACTTACAAAGTAATTGAATCAGATTCTGTAACTGATGAAATTAGCACTAAAAACTGATGAAGTCTTCTTAACACTGTCTTCGTCTCCTTGGTCCCTCATTGAATGAGCTGCTCTGATAAATGAACCGGCCAAAGAACGACCCCTCAGTAAAATGAGTCCAGAGGTCAAACTGTACCTCAGGATCCCATTTTATAATCATTAATGCTTTCTACTCCTCTGCCTTTCAGAGGTACACAAAGTACTTGTTACTGCATTTATCAAACAGCTTTAGTTACTTTCCAGAAGAGTTGATTTTGGATTGTTGAGATAAAAGGATGTGTTTTCTTTTATGTGTCGACACATGTCTTCTACTTTTTAAGCTACATTAGCTTTTTGAGAAGCCCCTTGATCAGCTGGGAAATGAATCATCACAAAGCTGAAGGGTGTTTTCTGAGAAACTCTCAAAGTCTGACAGGACGCTAAAAGACATATAATGATCTTATTGAATATAATGCACTGCTGTAGATTAAACAGCCGTAAAGAAGGAACAATGAGCACAACCTTAAACATCGACAGCAGTAAAATGCAACACACACATTAATGAAACAGTATATGAATCCCAGAGGAGGGAGAAGTACTCAGATCTTGTACTTGAGTAAAAGTAGAAGTACCAGAGTAGGAATACTGTGGAGTCTATTTTTATATAACATTAGAAAGACTGATTCTTATTACATTATAAGCTTATTGTGCTAATTTTATGTGGCTGTGAGGAACGAAGGGAAAAGTTACAAGAGAAAGTGTTTAGCTTGCAATATTGAAAGTAGCACGGTCAAGTGCAGAGACTGAGAGAACACAAAGAGGTAGTCAGAACAGCACATCGCACCGGCCTTGACTTTGTATGGGAGCCGCGCTCCCCCGCAAAGCTAGGAAGCAACATTATGGTTTTCCACTATATCTGAAGAAACGTTAGAGAAAACAAATTACGTATGATAGAGACAGAGTAGGGAGTGACTTCGCCAGCCGGCCAAATGCTGATTGGAGGATTGTGTTGCTAAGAGACCCTATCTGAGTCTGTGCACCAACCAAAGAGAACCAAGTCTAAACCGCGGTATCTCTTCAGCTAGTCTTGACCAATCATGAATGTACGGGCAACACCCTGTGTAATCAAATGTATTGTCGCACGAGGTTCGAGGCTCTTTACAGATTTGGTGGTTACAGATTACAGCTTTGCTGCCTGTGATTCCCAAAGACGTGATGAGTCCTTGGCCAAGTGAATATATATATTTAGCTCTCTTTACAATAAATAGTTAAACTTAGAAGTTGTCTGTCTTTTCTGGAATTCTGAACCCAACATTTGTAGTTAATAACTAAGAAAAGAGTATGTGAAAGTGAAATAAATGTTTTGCCACCAGGAATTTTGTTTATTTCATGATCAAAATAGGATATTTTTCACAAAAACAAAGACATTGATTTGTACAAATAATAAAAGGGTATTGATTTGACATTAAGTTGAACTTAATGTCAACTTCCAGATAAGTTTAACTCAGTTTGCCTTGTCCTATAAAAAACCTTAAATTAAAGGGTTTTGCAAAGAAAGTGGCGGCCATTTTGAATTTCGCTGCCTGTAGCTTTCCAGTCTGTAAACTGAAAAATCTGTAAACATTGAACCAATTCAACTTAGCATCGGCAGCAAACCTTGTGTATATTAAAGGAGAGGTGTCATGGCCATTTCCACTGATCATAATTCCATTGTTGAGGTATACTACACACACACACACACACACACACACACACACACACACACACACACACACACACACACACACACACACACACACACACAAACACTCCACTAGGTGTCACTGCAGCTCCACGCATGCTTCCCTTCCTGCCCTACTTTTATCTGAAGTACATCTGAAAGCCCATACTACATTACTTTTACTTTAGTTAGACGTTCAGTCAGAGTATTTTTCAACACGAGTATCTGTACTTTCACTCGAGTGAAGGATGTGTGTACTTGTGCCACCCCTGCTACTATGAGTACTACTATCAGTACTACTATGAGCACACACACACACACACACACACACACACACACACACACACACACACACACACACACACACACACACACACACACAGGGTATGCAACAGAGATTGCTGTCACTTTTGTTCCATCACCTTCAAATATCAACTGTGAGAAGTTCAAAGGTGCATACAATTTCTAAATTTTCCAATTGAAGCACAAGTATGTAATAAAATCTGCTTTTCTTACACTTTTTTGGAACATTAAGTTCATTTAGTTTTCCCAGGGCATTGCACATAGTTGACAACACCTCAACTTACATTGCTCAAGCTGTCCTAAGATAAATGATACTGAATGATAAAAGGCTCTTTCAACACACGTGTCACGTCAATAGTAAATGTTTTGTAAAATAGTGACTCAATATTTTGAAGGATGTGTCGCAAGAAATTCACTTGCACTACTTCAAATTAGAGTTTTTTTTCAATATTTCACCGATAGTAGAAAAACAGGAACTCCCATCACATGTAGGGTGCCCCTCCCTGCAGATAGAGGGTTTCATAAGTATATCACACACAGCTGTGGTTGTATCTTTGGGTAAAGAGGCAGTCACACTCTCCGCTCCATGCCCTTATTATCACCATGCATGGCACACTTGTCTTCAGCGAACCTCCAACCAGCATGCACCAGCAGAGCGTAACCACAAAACTTGAAACAGGCAGTGGCATCGAGGCCGAGACCACTTTCAAGTCAACCATAAACACACAATATACGGAGAATCAGCATACAGCACAGTTTGCAAGCAACAGAACGTGATGCCAGACCCCACAAAATCAAGAAACCCACTTTTCCAAAATATGAGCAAAACCAGAACACATTTGCATCAAAGCCTTGTGATTATATATTACCACACTGCTCTTTTATATTTAGTTCATCCTGTTTACAGTTGCAGGAGGCTGAAGTAAATCCCAGAATGCATGCAGACAGGTGTGTCAGACCTACACGCATTTGAGTTTCCTGTGGGAGGAAATTGAAATGCAAACTTTGCAAAAAAAAGCCCTTGATGTACAGGTGGGATTTAAATCCATCAGCTGTGAATATGTCACAATGCAGAAGGATGCAAAAACCTTAAAGGGCCTATGTCATGCTTTTCTGGTTATGACCCGTCCCCTTGTGTGTTATGAAGGTTTTTCTGCATGTGAACGGTCTGCAGAGTCACAAACCCTCAAAGTACACCCTGTAGCGAGTAAAACTCTAACACAGAAAAGACCTGTCTATGCTGCCCCAGAACGCCTCGTTGGAGATTTCTCTTTTTCCATTGTTTTCTTCCTGGGTTCTGTGACGTGTGAACACCCAAATCAACAACAAATGACCGGATTGGCCCAAATGGACCAATCCGCGGAGCACCTCACACACCAGGATCCCTTGGCTAACTAACAGGGAGTCCCCATTGACTTGCGTAGAGCTCCCTGGCTGGTAATAGACGAGTTGGGATCGCGGAGAAATGCTCTCCGCAGACCCATTCTCACAGCGTTATCAACCTGTTTCTTACTCAATATCAAGCCACACATATTGTTTTTACTTCGGCTGTGAGTGTTTGTGTGTGCTCAGGATGAGTTTCG